GAACACTAATGGGTATGTCCTAATCCTCATAAATACGTTGGACACTATTGTAAGTGGGGGTAATATGGTGTCTAAGTAGTCCACAACTAGAAGTGGTTTACCTACTTCACGCCGCTGGCGAGTAATGTATTTTGTTGATTTTATAAAGATTATCATTTCATTTCCAAACTCTGTTTTGATTATTCCTCATTCAGTAGCATTTCTCTAGGTTACAACAGTACTAATGCGGTGCCACATCAGTACGGATAATATTGCAGATTTTTATTTGGATTTTGTCTCAGAATCTCTTGACAGAAGCCAGGCCTGATGTGACAGCAATAATCGATTATCTCTACCCACTTCTATTAGCCACCTAAGATACGACATAATTGAACTCACTCCTCAGAATTAATGCGACAACTGCCTTTAACTTTTTTTAGTCTGTAAAATTTAATATTATGCTCTCATTAGGATTGGTTTAATTAAAATCGATTGCATGAATTAACTCTGGCATTTTCATTAATTGCTGCCGTAATAACAACATTAATAATATATCGATTGTTTTTTCTCTTTTCATTGTAGCGACTATTGCAATGACGGACAATTTGGGGATATTTTTTATGATATTAATGTTTTGTTAATACTCGTTTTTTCTTTGTTGAAATCATGATTTTAATTTTCCTATTTAGTAACATTGTTATGACCTGTAGTCGTGTCCAACTGTGCCGTAATAAACGGTTTTAACGTCTTTAAAGGAAGTGATTCCTTTGCTTCTTTCTTTTTCTTCCTTTCGGATTTCCAATCTTACTTTCACTTTCACTTTCTCATTGATTTATTTTTTATTTTTTTCTCCTCGTTTACTCCTCTTAGTTTCTGGACATCTGTATTCTTTGCTTCTTTCCCTCGTTCTCCTTTTCTTCCTTATTACTTTTTTTTTTCTTCATGCTGTTTACTTGTTCTTTTCTTGCTTTTCCTCTTGCTCTTTTTCTATTATTTTCTTAATTACTTTTCTTTGTTTATTCTTTTCTCCTTGTCTTCGTTCTCTTCGTTCAGGGCCCTTTTTTCTGTTCTTTCCTATAATTCTTCTTCTATTTTTTTTTTTTTCGTTCTGGATTTTTTTTCAAGTCTTTCTTCTCTCGATCATATTTTTCCATTCATATTTTTTCTGTTTTTATTTTATTTTTTTATTTTGTTTTTTGCCATCGTTCCCTCTTCATCGTTTCTTCTTCTTCTTCTTCTTCTTCTTCTTCTTCTTCTTCTTCTTCTTCTTCTTCTTCTTCTTCTTCCATCAACTACCTTCTTGACCAGATATCTCTCCCACAGATTATCTCCTGTTTGATCTTTCCCATGCGCGATAGAAGATTTCCTTACAATGAAGAAGTAGTCGAAGCATTTAAAGAGTTTATTAAACCAAAAGATGAGTATATTTTTTTTTTTTTATGGAATAAATAATTTAGAAGTACGTTGGAAGAAAGTACCTTTGAATAAAGATTTTTATTTTAGATCAACTATTCAAGAGCCACTCGAAGCAGATTAATATATGATTCTATCGGACATTAAGTGGGGGATCAGTTTTACATTGTTATTAAGTAATGAAGTGATTCCACCGAAATTACAACAGATGAATCATTGGAAAAGATGTATTTAAATATCTGCGTAAGATAGCTTTCTAATGTCAGTCAAGACTTAACAAAATATGACACCGTTTTTGAGGGCTGTATAACCTAGTATTAATATTAGATTCTATTGTACATGAAGTGGGGGTTCAGTTTTATAACGTTATTAAGTAATAAACAGATCATTTAAAATTACTACATATTCATAATCAGAAAATTATTCTTAAAGACTTACGTGTGATAACTTTCTAATACCAATATGGAACTGTTTTTGACAACTGGGTAATCTATTATTAATATTAGATTTTGTTGAACATAAAGTGGGGGACCGGTTTTACATTGCTATTAAGTAATAAACTGATCCCACATAAATTAGCATATTAGAAAAATGTACTTAAAACTTTCGTGAGATAGCTTTCTCATATCAGTGAAGACTTAACAAAATATGACATCGTTTCTTGATAATCTCGTATTAATATTAGATTTTGTCGAACATAAAGTGAGGGACCGGTTTTACATTGCTATTAAGTAATAAACTGATCCCACGTGAATTAGCATATTAGAAAAATGTACTTAAAGACTTTCGTGAGATAGCTTTCTCATATCAGTGAAGGCTTAACAAAATATGACATCGTTTTTTGATAATCTCGTATTAATATTAGATTTTGTTGGACGTAAAATGGGTGATCGATTTTACATTGATTTTAAGTAATAAACTGATCCCCGAATATTAATGCTCATTAATAACTGGGAAAATAGATTTAAAGATTTGTGTGCGAGAGTTTTCTAATATTAGTCAGGGCTTAATAGCTCTGTTTATGATGTCATGGTAATCTTGTATCTAAATATTGTTTCATTTATAACCGCTTAGAGATTTAGGTGTGCCTGACATATAAACAGAAAAACAAACGTCATCATGTAAATACAAGCGTACAAAGGGGTTAATTTATGCATTCAAACATAGTAACGCACGGACCCGCATATTCACGCACACACCAATATGACTGGATATACAGGCACCCTTTCCTATAGCCAAGGACAAGCTGATAATACTTTTAGTAAATTGGAGCGTTTGTCAGTAAAAAGCGACACCATCACCAAGAACGGCAAATGGGATACGGTGATATTTTTTTTTTTTTTTTTTTTAAGTGGCACGTGTCATTTTTTTTTTTTTTTATTAAGTTTATTTGGAATTTTTCTTTTCCCCTCGTCATATCATGAGCTGTGGATCCAGTTTCTGCTATTCCAAAAGTTAATTACACCCAAGGGAAACGATTGGATTAGTTTATGGCGTCAAATGACTTCATATTCTAAGAATGCATGGAAGCGATTTCTTTTCACAACACATTTCCCCGAGTGCCGTTCAATATTATTAATTTACTGATGATAAAGTATATTTTTTCCAATTATTAATATGTAGTAATTTCCAGGGGATCAGTTTATTACTTAATAACAATGTAAACTGATCCTCCCACAATATGTCCAGTAGAAGCTGATGTTAATACTGGATTATCCAGCCGTCAAGAACGGTGTCATATTTTATAAGTAATTCTCTCAGCTTTACTTCACTTTATATGTAAGTCCTACCAGGATTCATTATTGAGAGGAATGAGATGAACCGACGTAACCCATTCGGCGTCGCTAATTCGCCTTGGCCGATTTCACGTCGCCGATTCGATATACGGATTTTTCAGAAGAGGGAAGATTAGGCGTCAGATTACAACTCCATCACAATAGTCAAAATCTCTCTCTCTCTCTCTCTCTCTCTCTTTATATATATATATATATATATATATATATATATATATATATATATGTGAAAATATATAGAAAATAGGAAGGAACTGGTTAGGTAAATAATCCAAAGTCCCTTAGTATTTTAGTTATTATTTTTAAAAAATAGTGCTCGATACAAAAGTAGAGCATAAATATAATTATTTATTTAAAAATATGATTCCAAATCGCTACATAAGAGGTCTCATGTTTCAAAACAAGAGCCGAAAACTTCAATATAATCCTTTAAATTAAATTGAGTTGAAAGTAAAATGGGCTCCGTTCCATCTTCAAGCGAAATTTTTGTTGAAGATGGAACGGAGCCCATTTTACTTTCAACTCAATTTAATTTAAAGGATTATATTGAAGTTTTCGGCTCTTGTTTTGAAACATGAGACCTCTTATGTAGCGATTTGGAATCATATATATATATATATATATATATATATATATCATTTAGTAGTCAAATTATTACTTCGTCGTCATGCACTCGAATAGTCCAATTTAAGAAAAAGAGTAGTTGAAGGCATTTTTATATTCAAGAAAAAAGAGTATTTGGCTGGCATTTTTAAATTCAATAAAAGAAGTAGTTGAATTTACTTTTATATTTAAGAAAAAGAGTAGTTGGAGGTATTTTTATATTTAAGAAAAGGAGTAGTTGGAGGTATTTTTATATTTAAGAAAATGAGTAGTTGGAGGCATTTTTATATTCAAGAAAAAAGAGTATTTGGCTGGCATTTTTAAATTCAATAAAAGAAGTAGTTGAATTTACTTTTTATATTTAAGAAAAAAGAGAAGTTGGAGGTATTTTTTATATTTAAGAAAAGGAGTAGTTGGAGGTATTTTTATATTTAAGAAAATGAGTAGTTGGAGGTATTTTTATATTTGAAAAAATAGTAGTTAGAGGTAATTTTATATTTAAGAAAAAGAGTAGTGGAGATATTTTTATATTTAAGAGAAAGAGTAGTTGGAGGTATTTTTATATTTAAGAAAAAGTGTAGTTGGAGGTATTTTTATATTTAAGAAAAGGAGTAGTTGGAGGTATTTTTATATTTAAAAAAGAGTAGTTGGAGGTATTTTTATATTTAAGAAAATGAGTAGTTGGAGGTATTTTTATATTTAAGAAAATGAGTAGTTGGAGCTATTTTTATATTTAGGAAAAGGAGTAGTTGGAGGTATTTTTATATTTAAGAAAATGAGTGGTTGGAGGTAATTTTTATATTTAAGAAAATGAGTAGTTGGAGGTATTTTTATATTTAAAAAAGAGTAGTTGGAGGTATTTTTATATTTAAGAAAAAGAGTAGTTGGAGGTGTTTTTATATTTAAGAAAAAGAGTAGTTGGATGTATTTTTATATTTAAGAAAAGGAGTGGTTGGAGGTAATTTTTATATTATATTTCCTTCATTGCAGCTTCATATTTGGAAGCAAATATTTTATCAATACGTGGAAAAAAACAAAGTGATATAAGATGAATATCATTTTATTTCTTGACGCAACGTGCAAGAGGAACCCTGAATTAAAGTTTTGGCTGAGTTAAAAGCTAAAAAATATAGAGATGCTGACGAAATAATCAAATATGCTGTAATGGAAGTTGAATCATTAGATCCTATTGTGTTCCTGAGGGGTGTTGCT